AAAACTACGCCTCAGCACGGTTTTTAAAAACTATTAGTTCTATTACTATGTAACAAAATATATCGCAATGTTTGGTATTGCCTTGTATTACATGATAAATTGTTGGGAATTTTTCTCGGCACAGTAAATCAAAGTGTTTCTAGAAAAAATCAACTTCAAAGAAAGTACAGGGTGGCCACCATAAGTGTCACACCTAGTTTTTTCCATAACTCAAGCTAATATTTCTGTTGAAAAAAAAATTGAACATTGTTATTACCGAGGTTATTACTGTGACATAAGTATTTTTAAATGAAACACACAGTATATTTTATATATATTTCAATAGAAGACTTCTAGGCTTCTTTTACTATTACGATGATTTAGACTTTGAAGGGTCCATCTCTAATAAGGTCAACAGTGCATAAGACCAATGACCAATAATTGAGCTAGTAATAGGTACTGTCTTTTTAGCACATTATTTTGGCCGTATCCCCTTATTCTGATCATTTAGAACCCATTTTAGATCCATATTTAAAAACTCATATTAGGCGTAGATTTGTTTAATCTAATGCTCAAATGTTTTTGCAACATAGATATTAGAAATATAAAATAGTTTCCTACAACTTTTATCTTTAATTTTCTTGGCTTATGTAGCAAAACAACAAAGAAAATGAAGGTGGCAAAGGGAGGTGACACTTATGGCGGACTCTCCTGTATATTTCTTTCATTTTACTCACAATATAATATATTTTATTAGGGAATCATATGCACAATGAATCATGTTTAAGCCTCGTGCTACTTCGCTAAGAGATATATGTATAAAAAGAAATATATGAAATATACAAAACGGAATAGCAAATTTTTTTTTTTCAAAAATTTCTGAATAACATTTAATTTTTTTAAATGGAATAGAATTGGTGAAAATTAAAGTGGTCATAATTTGATAATGAAGTCTGAGTCGCATATTGCTTTTTTAGGGAAAAAACTTCTATGCTAACGTACTCTAATGGAAATTGCAAAACTAAAAATTAAAATACTGGCAGTTGAGACCTCAAAAACCTTCTTATTCATCATTTCACTTTTAAATCAAAAACCAGGAATTTGGGATTCATAACCAATAATATACTCTGCCCACAGTAAAATAAGTATTTTTTCAAAATGGTGTATCTTTCATATGAAACAAGTGAATACTTCTTACATAGAAATTTAGGACATTATTCACTACATAAAATTAAAAAACAACCATTGGGTAAGTAAGTTTTCTACATATGACTAAAATCAAGTTTATTTTTTTTTAAGTTCAGCAGCTCTTTCAATGCCCTGTCTCTTGGAAACAAAGAAATTTTTATATGAACAACCCCCTTTAATTTTTATCATAGAATCTAATGCTGAAAGTTAGTTCATTTATAGCATATATATTCAGGTGCAAAATGTTAATATAAATATTTTTTTTTCATAATCAACTGATAGACACAAATAGATATTCCAAGATATTCCCTTATTTTTCATAAAATTCCCATTTTTCTTAGTTACAGCTCATTCAAAAAATTGAAAAATCGGATGTTATATCAAATTAAAACTTAATGGTTATAACTACGAAGAAAATAAGATTTTAAATAAATAACTCCCTGTACCAAAAGGACAAGTTAACCAATTTATTATTAATTTTTATAAATATAGTTTTGCCTTACCACAATATCTCAGGCTGAGAAAGTAAAAATAATTATTCATTATTATACACTATAAGCAAAATACATTTGTGGTTAGGCAAAACTAAATTTATAAAATCAACCCTTCGACTGATTCTTTCGTCTCAAGGTGTTATTTATTAAACACATCGTTTTCTTTTCAGTGTGGTAGAAATAGGTACATATCCAGTTCGAAATATAGTAATAAAACTTAAATGTAATAGTAACCGGGTAGAAAATAGCCAGTTTCATTTAACTGTAACTTGAGCCGTAGATGTTCGAACACTTTGTATAGCGAACCAGAAAAGTTTGATTCATACTTTTAAGAAACTTCTTTCTTAATCTTCAGCTGAATACTCCATCACAATTTTTAATTACCTATACAGAATACTTTGATTTAAAGGAAATATTACAGCAAAAGTTACATTTCACTAGATCAGCTTAGCAAGAAAATCAAATGTTTCAGCGAAACAGCAAATTTTTTTGCCAACAAAGCGGAAAGAATATTATATTATTTATAGAAATATTCATACTTAAAACGCAACAAAAACACAATTTGTTAGCATATTTACCTACCTGCACAAGGTTATACCAGGCAGATATTAAAAAATTGTACAAAGATTAATTACATACAAAGAGATCAAGAGATCAAATGCAAAAAAGCTTTATTTATAGATGGTAGAAAAATATATATATTTCTGCTGTATGGAATTATGATTATGACTACTGAATATTAAAATATTATAATTTCAGTACATATCTATATCGATACTGAAATTTAGATAGAAGTACTAAGTACTTAATACTAGATTAAATTTTAAGATATATTTTTTATTACGAAAAGACATATCTTCTAATAAAACAGTCTTAAAAAAATTCAAAAGAAGTTAAGTAATAAAACAAACATTTTAAACTGTGACGAATTATATGTCATTAAAACGATTTTCTACATAGTTCAGTGGCAGAATATCAAGTTCTGATGTAAGAGGACCTCGAATTAAATCTATTAACTACAATATCAACCATTAAAGCTATTAAAGTGTTTCTATTAATTGGGTCATATTAAAATTGTTTAAGAGTAAAATATAAGCTGCGTGTTGGCTATAACTTGAGCTGCCAATAAGTTTGTACAAATCATTACTGAAGAAATAGAGAAGGAAGTAGGAAAATAACTCCGAAAAAATATATTTTATCTAGGTACAGCTAATAAAACAGGAAGAACAAGGCTTTTTTTAAAGTAACAATAAGTATTTCTTTCTTACCGAATACATTAAGTACTGTAACTTTTAAAATTTTAAATAAGTAATTTACTAAATGTTGTCTACATTTAATTAAAAAACAAATCAAAAAAAGCAAAGAAAATATTTATGCATAAACAAATTATAATTTTTATATGGGTTTTCTGAATTATGTCAAGTTTGACACCCAAAAAAACGAAGATCCAGTAGATCTGATGAAAACACTTACCAGATTGACAATATTTTCATATATAAGAGGAAAATAAATTATTTTTAACAGAACGCGCCATATAGCTTTATCAATTTGATGTAATACATTCTAATAGTATTAAGGAGAATATCTCAAGAAAAAAGATGTGCTAGGCAAATACCTAATTGATTTTCTGGCAATAAGTTAATTATGCAGCGTATTCCGTTAAAAAGGCATTTTTTGTCCTCTCTGAAAGAGTAGCAAGTGGACCGTTAGTGAAAGTAGACCGATGATACCACAGACAAATAATATTTTCGACAAAGTTATTTACGCAACTGATCAATCGATGAAAACAAAATGCTTCTTATTTTTCTTTTGAACTATGTTCAATACAGTTCGGAAGTAGGTGTACAACATGTTACAGATCTGCCACGCAATAAATACAAATAAGTGAATCGTTTACAATCAAAATATCGCGCTTTTGTCTTGACCCTGTGTAGCCATCAAATTATACTATATACCTGTGCTTTGATCGTCAAATTGGCCATGACCGTTTACACCTAGATGCCACATCAGTAAGACAATTGTATAAGACTACAGGGGATGTTCATTTATAAAAAAATTGTGTACATACGAAATTTATTTTTAATAAAAACAGTTAAGTTATTTGCCTTTAAAAATAGTAAGTAATGATAAACTTTCTTAACACGTTGACTGCGGTACATACCTCCGGGGGTATGTACTCATTATAAAAAATATGCGAATCTCAATAATCACATTTTTACTGTATCTTGTGGAAGTTGCAGAATCTGTACTGTTTAGAAATAATGATTTTTCTATTATTTTCTTTTCAAAACTCTTTGCGAATGAAAACGTTAGTATCCTAGGATATATACTTACAGATACATGCAAGTTTATAGCAATAATTGTGTTATTTTTAATTTTATAGGGTCAAATGTAAAAAAAATTACATATCCCCAGGGATGTGTACCGCACACAGAAGTAGTTTTGTTACATATCCCCGAAGATATGTATCGCAGTCAGGGACAAAGTACATTGAGATTATCTCGCAGTCAACGTGTTAAAAACTAAAATAGATGCTACCTGAAGAGAAAGTGAATAAATAGCACCTTAGAAAACCAGCTGACGATTGTACTTAAATATAGCAATGATAATAATTACCGACAGCAACAGAATAGAATATCAAATCAGAGCAATCATCAAAGAAGAATAATGTATGAGTTAAGTCGAGTCGAAATATTACCAAGTATACATCATACTGATTTTACATGATGTTCATAACAAGGAAAACAATAAAATTATTATACAATTTTTGATTAAAATGAAGGAACGTACAGAACAATGAAGTCGTTACACAATTTTTTATTAAAATAAAGAAGAAACGTAGAGAACAATGAAGTCGATATTCCATTTTGTATTATATAGTATATTGGAAAACTTTGTAGTATTAAATATTTATAGGTCAACACATATATGGAGAATAATAAATATACACTTCAAGGTTAAATATCATGCAAAATTTTTGCAGCAAGTTCTTGATAAACATAGTTAACTGTTTTACTATAGACGATAACCTTTGTTTACCCCATTGTTCAACTTAATACTTAGGTATGGACATTAAAATATGAACATAAAGTTACAGGTGGATTAGTACTGTAAGAAATTTCAACAGAGGCAAACGATCAGAATTATGTGTATAATGCTAATCTACGATGTACTGTTTGGTGCCTGTCCCTATGAGAAATATATTTAATTGTAACAACGAAAAACATTATTGCACTTATAGTACATAAGTCAATATAAAACATTTTAATTGGAATTAAAAAAATGTAAATGTATGAACATGTAGGTAATACTTGTATAACATAAAAAATTGTCACTTACCATGGATGGTCAATTCTGAATCCCTATTAACTTCATACAAACGAATGGCTTCATCAAGCTCCATTTGGGAGGAGATAGTGCAAGGATCACCTTCTTCATCCACCCACTTCATAGTAAACACTTGCTCACTTGAAAAACGACAAATTTCTCTCATTTCTTGACACAACTGTTCTAAAGTAATGCTTTGATCTATGTAAGTTATTAACACTTCACCATTGTAAGCTATTTTAGCTCTAATTTCATTGGGATTATCACCAAATTGTGTAGGCATCTTGGTTATAGGTTAGGATACTTATTAATATATTGGATCTAAAAAGGATTAACAATTTCAGTCACGCTAGAAGTATGTATTAGTCATAAGTTGATATTGTTAAATGTTACTAAGAGAATCAAGTGAAACTTACCTTAATAATTAATATTTAATTGATCAGTCGCTTTCAGCAAATCAATTGTTGTTTTAATTTAGCATATCTTAGGGATTAAAAACGTACCTCTTTCAAATAAATCAAATAAATAAAAACAATTCATTATAACCTAAATGACGCTTTTCAGGTATCTTACTTTACAATACAAAACGTCACATTTGACAAAAAACCGCTAACTAGGCTATTTTTGGTGATGCACAGAACACCGCCATTAAAAGAAGAATGACGTCACGATGAAGTAAATTCACATACTTGGTATACGTAAGGCACTATCACAATATAACACGGTACCGATGGCAATGTTAACACTTCTATTATACTTCCTTAGAACATTTCGGTGCTTGCTTACAATGTATAAGCCGTGTTTCTCTTGTATATAAATATACCCAGTTCATTACTGTAACATTGTAAAATAATATTCAATTTTATTTAAAATTAAATAATAACTATATTCTTATTAATACTTAGCATCAAAACGTGTTACCAAGAAATTTACAATGCTCGACATGCTTATAGACCCACAGAGCAGAGAGGAATCTGCTCGTTTTTGGGATGGTTGATTTGCTCAAGTGATCATATACTTTATCCCTTAAAATCTGTTTATGAAGGAAGTATGGTTTACTGATTTGTATTATACTATTATAGTTTATATAAATAACTAATAATATGTTCATATAATTCACAAAAATTGAATAGTCATACCAACACTATTTACGAAGGGAGAATAAGGGCTCTAGTAAATTATAAATTTGACTATTAACAATGCTAACTGATTTTGTTTTCACATGGTGCGGACATTCTTTCACAGTTTTTATCTGTTATAATTTTCACAATGTATATTTAAAACATATAATTGTTCAACAGAATATGTAGTTGCAATAGGTTACTACCTTTGAATCATTTTGAATATTTTTTATATATTATTTTGTCTATACCCAAAAATACATTCAATATATAATTCACCTACAGCTTCATTTTTCAAAAACTGGGAGTTTTTTTATAAATTGGTGCCATATATATTAGTTATATATGTAAAAAAATCTTAATTTAATTGTTGTATGTTAGGTTGCATAAAAAGTGATGGAATAAGACGAAAGGAATCATAATGTGAGGAATTACCATGCTACAGGGTATGCAACCAATATTGCATAACTACAACTTAATAGCATGGTTTGCCATCTCGTGGACACTGAAACTACTGTATTCGTTAAAGTAATTATTGATTAAAGATTACTTTGTGCAAAACATTTATTTTTTATAGTGTAGGGTGTAGGTTTAATCTATATTTATTTTAATTTAAATATAAAAGGGTTTTCGTTTGTAAATACAAATTCAACAACGAGACAGAAAATATCTATTTTATTGGATAAAAATTTTATATTAGTTACAACATATTCAGTTACAACATTATACTTTACGTTGATGGATCAAAAATAGTACATTTTATGATAATCTTCTGAGTTAAATATTATAAATTACGAAGTGTTGTTCTTCAAATGTAAGTTTTTATTATTTTTGAATTCTTAGAAGTAGTGAAATATTTACTTTCCTGGTGAAATATCAAATGTGTATATTATTCATAGTGCCGTGAAATATAAAATAGTGTGAAGTGTAAAGAAAAAAAACTTAATTTTCAACACTTGAAGAAAACGGTTAGGTTCCTAACTTTCTGTTCTGCTATTTGCGTCTCCTAAATTCAACTATATACAGGGTGATTCACAACTTATCCAAAAAAATTTGGGAATAGATGCTGCATGAAATGGAATCAATATCTTAAAAAAAAATTTGTAAAATCCTTTATAGTTTCCGAGAAAAGAATTATTGAAATTGTAGTACATTCAACCATTACATAGCTGGACAATTGTAATTTCTAGCGTCATTTGCAATACGCGTGGAGAGCCAAGTGGCCTCAGCGACTCCGAATACTGAAATCCGATTTTACAATCGTCGTTGCGTTAGTGTTTACCTGTTATCTGTGGTGTTTACTATAGTTTTTTAGTAGTTAGTGTCAAAAATGACTTGCGTGTATAGCAACTCGGAGTTGATGGACATCGTTTAAATTTATGATGAAGCAAGACAACATTTTGTATTATGGTGAAGCATTTGTGTTATGGTGAAGCAAGACATTTGTGTTAGTTCCTAGAAACTGAGTAAGACGGACCCAAATTATTTTATTATTTAAAACCAAATTAATTTTATTTTAATAATAACAATAACGCAAAAGCAATTGAATTTGCTGAAATAAAATAGGTGCTATAAAATTCTATTTATTTCTTTCCTTGCGGATGTTTTTGTCCATTTATATCACACTTTGTCGCCATGCCGATGCCGGTCAGGTTTTAGATTGAACCAGTTTTCAGAAGTGCATTTTTAAATCATTTTCGAACTGCCCTTTTTAATTTTTTCTTTTACAAAATTGTATTTGTAAGTCCCCTGTACATCCAAAATTTTTTTTTGATACGTTCTGAATCACCCTCCCACTAAACATTTTTCAGTTTCCGACATGTTTCAGAAACGTTTCCATTTTTCTTGAAACGTTTCCTAAAAAATCCATGCAACGTTCTGGTAACGTTCTAGAAACCCAAAATGTCCTCCCCAAAATACGTTTCCAATGAAATGTTTCAAAAAATTGATTTCAGTAACATTCTTTTTATGTTCCATTTATGCACTCGATATTTTTGTTTTACGTTTCAGTATATTTTCATAAATGTTTGAGTAACATAATAATTTTATTACCATATTGTTCTCATAATACTCTCAACTTTAGATAATTTTCACTTCAAAAACGTTTTTGAAATAGTATAAATAGTGTGAGTAATTTTTAAGTTATTTCTAATACTCTTTTGTGATAATTTTATTTGTATCAAAAAATTTAACTAAAAAAAGGTTGTTACATTGTATATTCAAAAAAATAATAAACTTTTGCCAAGAATTTCTTTGTTTTTGAGAAGGCACTGAAAAAAGTTTCTAATATGGATTACGAATTTTGCCATTCATTGTACAAATAAAAAATATCACAAAGCAATATCAGAAGCATTAAAAAAGCTACACATCATTTTATATTGTTCAAATACGCTTCTAAAATGGAAATTTTCTAATGTTGAGACTATCGTGAATATGGTAACAATGACGAACTGATAATTAGAAAAAGTTAGTTATGATTATGAATCTTGAATTGGTAGGTACATGAAAAACAAATAAGATTACCTACTGTAAAATAATATAGTTACAATTTCTTCTACGCATAGTCAATATTACATCTATCCTTTTAATAATAATAATAAATTATACAGCAGAAATAAGGATACAAAATGATATCTTAACAAAATAAATATCTGTAGGTATACCTAAACTCTTTTATTTAAGCATGCCTATACACATAAACAAATATAAACATTTGTACAAAATATAAAATAAATGAAGTCTATTTCACTTGATTAATCCATATTTCATATAGTTCTCACTGACTAAGTAGTTGCTCATCAAATTATATCGAAAGGTATAGTTCCATATTCCAATTTCTTAGTTTTTGTCCCTTGTCCTCGTCTATAATAGGTAGTGGGTATAACTATGTTTAGGTAGATGTGTCGCAAAATTGGAAATCTCTTTACACATATCGTTTTAAACATATTGCATTAATATTCATTATTTTATATGCACCTTACAATAACCACAACTGCACACACTACAAATTATCAAAGTAAAGATGGAGAACAACGAATCAAGGCAAACTGGCAAACCGCAAACCTAACCTAACATAATACGAATTACGAATTGAAAACGACAGACGGGATCACGGGAAACAAATAAACTCGGGCTGTTACGCGCAGTCTATGGAAGTCACGAACATACATTTTTTATTTTTTCTATACTTGTTATAAATATGCCAGCACAATTTTTTTATCTGTTTATGTCTGTTTGTATAACAAAGGCAAATGAACTAACGCTTGAGAGGGATTGGGAGCAAAATTTAACTAAAGTCGAATGTTCCATAAGATAAGCAAAAAAAGCAAAGGGTTGTTCGCCCGTTATGTTTTCGAGATCAAAAGGGAATGTTTCGAGTAATGTTTCAAACTCTCTTCAATTGGAACGTTTCGGCTATGTTTCACTAAATGAGTTTTCAAGTGCTACATTTCTGTAATGAAACAGAAACGTTTCTAGTTAATGTTTCAAATGTTTAGTAAAACATCTCATTTGCAACGTTTCATTTACGTTTCGTGTTTAGTGGGCTGTATGTATAAAATCTTGAAAATGGATCCAAAAAGGGAGCCGAAACGTCGAGACTTAAACAGTCTCCGACGCAGTTCAATATACAACATAAATGGCCTTTAATTTATCTTTATTCGTTTACCAGGCAGAGACAATACATTTCCCGTAAAAAAAAAACGAAAATTACGCTACGCTTAGCGAAATCCAGGCAAATTCGGCAGCGAGTCACCGTTACCGAAAAGAAAACATCTAAATCTACGTTAACAATAAATCCTTCCTGGCTTAGCTCCAGATTCGGGCGCAAGTTCATGAACCCGTTAAAGAAATATATTACCCCTACTGAACATGACCTATCGCTGAGGTCCGACCACACGCTCTTTGTTGCGAGTATGTGTTTCAGGAAAATTCATAATGTCGATCGACGTAAAATTCCCACACATAACCTATAAACATAGAAATATTTTCCAATGGTGTTACATAAGCGTAATAAACGATGTTATTACTGTGACCCGATAGTCGCACTGACCAACAATAAATGAGGTGATTACTATCTGAGTTTATGGTCCTTATACGACCTATATGGCGAACATGACCTGAAAAATATTATTGGAAAAGTACCATAATATCTAACATCGCACACAGGTCGTCTAAAAAAATGTTTGTGTAAATTCTTTTAGCGTTTATTTGCAGGTTGGACTTTATTGTTTGGCAAATGTTAAATGTGTTGAAGCATTCGATAAATTTTCAAACTTATCAAAATGCACTTGTTTCTATTTCTCCATTGATAACGAAATGCTTGGGCCTGGGATAATGTTCTATTGTTGGCGATTGGAACACACTTATACTACACCTGGGACCATTGTTTTTGAGGCTTTCGACTGAGCCTTCTTTTAGTCCGGTCGCGCGGCGCGCGCCATTATTCCATGGCTAGAAA